ATTTTTTTATAACGTATGCTGTCTGAAAGCCGCTGTAAGCGTGAACAATCAATTAAGAACTGAAATGGTTTATCAAATCTTTCCAATGATTGCTAAGATAGAATCCATCTTCTCGGTTGAAATTGTCTCTGTGCTTGTATATGTGGATAGCCTCATGAACGAATCTCTCATGGAAGCCAGATGGCTTACAAAGAACCTCTGTCTTGGAAAAGTCAATGGCATGTGAGCCTACTGAATTAGAACAATGATCTGCTACGGCTGAGGTGTTGGTCCTACCGTGTTTAAGGTCTGCTTTGTGTTGACAAATGCGGTCCGAGACATGGCGTTTGGTTTCTCCAATGTAACTACTACCACAGAGGCAACTTAGTTTGTAGATACCAGGGTATTGTATGTCCGGAATCACATCTTTTACAGACGGAACCGAAAAAACTAAGAATATCTCCATGAGTAATCAGGCAGTTCTACAAGTGGTGGAGGAGCTCCCATACTTGGTTAATGTGTTCACGACTAGCTCTGGTTTGGCAGCCAAAGTCTCACTTCAAATTTGTCGAGCAGCATTCTTTCATTAGACTGTGTAACGCTGCGTGGAAGCTGCCTGGACTTTTGCTTCATAGAAAGCTGTGAGTGTCCATCACCAAGGTCTCGTCTGTCTGAGACCATCCCTCTCCCTGCCATACTGGCATTGTATCCGCCTCTCACCCTTCGTCCTGTGGATGGTGGGCGCACAGGACGGTGCCACGTAGCCATTCCAGGCTGGGCCCAAATGGATTACATGGGTCACCTGGCCACCAGGCATCGTTCCATGAGTGATATCAATATAGAATATCTGTGAGGAGGCCCCCCAATAGACTGCCCCTGGAGCTCTCCTGGGCACGTTCTACTGGGGGAAGTCCCCGGGGCCCGGCCCTTGGACATGCTGGTGGGAATATGTCACTTGGCTGGCTTGGGAACGCCTGGGAATTCCCCAGGAAGAGCTAGAGTCTATCGCCAGGGAAAGGGAGGTCTGGACTGCCCTACTCAATGTACTGCCACCACAACCCTCACGAAGACAAGAGGATGTAGAAATGAACGAACAAAGCTGTGAGTCTTCTTGGCCACAGATATTACTCCTTTCTCTATGGATGTAAAATATTAACTTATTTAAAGGACCGTCTGTTCTGGTTTATAATTAAGGCTGGCCTGCCTATAATCCCCTCTATTGAACCAACCAAACAAGATTGCATTAGAATCTTACAGATCCTTAAAATATATAAGTACAGAATACAATCAATGAGTCTCTTTGACAGGCGAGGCTGCATTGGTTGGGTCATGAATCCCACATAAAGACAACATGCTCAAGCATCTTCTGTTAGTCCAGATCTTACAGGCTAAAGAGGCATGGCATTGGCTAGAGAAGAGATTGGAGGATGTGGAGGTGATCAGGCCTGCTGATGACTGGTACCAGGAGTGTCAAGATCGGCCTCTGTGGAGGAGGCCCGTGATATATGCTGCAGGGCAGTTCGAGATATTTGCTCTACAACAACGAGGTCGGATTAGCAACGCTCACATAAATGGGTGGAACTCTGGGTGCCTAAAATGCAGCAAGACGGTGGGAAGCACAACTGGTGCATCTGTCAATCATCTCAGTCAGTCCATCCCTTGACACCTGGATCATTCCCATGACCTGACAAGTGATCCACACTTACATGGCAGTCATGTGAAATGTATGTGTAGTAAGTTAAAACTGAGTCGCAGCCGTACACTTGGAGGCAACACATTTATTTAACACCAACACACGGGGTAACTGCCCCTTAACAGAATAATAACCTATGGTGTTGACCAGCAGGCTAACTGCACTAATTACAACGTAACTAGCTAGTCCAGTTCCACGTGTTGGATACTTGGTGGAACGTAGACGAAGGTTTCTTCAGGTTGAACAACAACGCCGGTCCCTCTGAGGGACCCAGCTTATATTCTCTGCGGCGTGGCTGGCTCCGCCCTTGGCCACGACCACCTTCCAGAATCCTCGAGCAGGATCTGGACCCCGACCACGTGACCACCCCTAGCCCCCACTTTGGGCCCTTTGTAGACTTAGCTTGTCACGCTGTCCTCGAATCAACCAGAGTGCCATGGCCTTTAGTAACCTCATTCCTACGGCCGGCACTCCCACACCCTATCCTGTAGGGCCGGCACTGCACGCCAAGCGTGGTGCCATCTAGCGCTATCAGTCAGCGCTCACCGAACCCCTCTAGGGCCGGTACTACACCCACACCAGAGTGGTATCCGCGAAGTTTGTTACACCGCACGCCGTGCCTCTCTAGGGCCGGCACTACACAGTGACATCCCGCGATGTCACTACATCTGTAAGAGAAACAACAAAATATATATAAAACAATAAAAAATTCTCACGACGTTTCGACCATAACTCAAACGGTCATCATCAGGTGTGTCGGTTTGCATAAATTTATTTTGAAAACGGCATATTTATTTATAAAATATAAAAATAACGTTTGCGTCACGCGCAACGATGGCAGTTTGCCAGGACTAGTCCATCTATTTTTTGAAAAGAGGAGGGGGGAGACGAAATTTGTTTTTATGTATGCTGTCTGAAAGGCACTGTAAGCGTGAACAATCAATCAAGAACTGAAATGATTTATCAAATCTTTCCAATGATTGCTAAGATAGAATCCATCTTCTCGGTTTGAAATTGTCTCTGTGTTTTGTATATGTGGATAGCCTCATGAACGAATCTCTCATGGAAGCCAGATGGCTTACAAAGAACCTCCGTCTTGGAAAAGTCAATGGCATGTGAGCCTACTGAATTTAGAACAATGATTCTGCTACGGCCGAGGTGTTGGTCCTACCCGTGTTTAAGGTCTGCTTTATGTTCACGAATGCAGTCCGAGATATTGCGTTTGGTTTCTCCAATGTAACTACTACCACAGAGGCAACTTAGTTGTAGACACCAGGGTATTGTATGTCCGGAATCACATCTTTTACAGACGGAAACCAGATCACGGATTTTATGTAATGTGTTGAAACGGACCTGGATCTTGTGTTTATTCAAGATTTTGGAGATCTTTTTTGTGATCCCAGCAATGTAGGGTAAAGTGATGGTTTGAAAGGCTCCTCAAGAGGGTTCTTCTTCATGGTTTGAGTGATAGCTTTGCGGATTGTATAGTCGGAGTAACCATTAGCCCTAAGAGCTTGGTGTACGTGCTTGAGTTCACTGCTTATGTGTTCCTGGTCGGATATGCATTGGGCTCTATGATACAGAGTCTTGATGAGAGAATTCTTCTGTGATGGATGGTGGTGGGAATCCGGTTTCAGATAAGCATCCGTATGGGCTTCCATGAGAGATTCGTTCATGAGGCTATCCACATATACAAACACAGAGACAATTTCAACCGAGAAGATGGATTCTATCTTAGCAATCATTGGAAAGATTTGATAAATCATTTCAGTTCTTGATTGATTGTTCACGCTTACAGTGCCTTTCAGACAGCATACATAAAACAAATTTCGTCTCCCCCCTCCTCTTTTCAAAAATAGATGGACCTAGTCCTGGCAAACTTGCCATCGTTGCGCGTGACGCAAACGTTTATTTTTATATATATAAATAAATATGCCGTTTTCAAAATAAATTTATGCAAACCGACACACCTGATGATGACCGTTTGAGTTATGGTCGAAACGTCGTGAGAATTTTTTATTGTTTTATATATATTTTGTTATTTTGTTGTTTCTCTTCAACGTGACTTTACCGAAAAAACTAAGAATATGAATTACTGCAGTCACGAAAGCTTTAAATCAAAATTTACATCTGTAAGATTTCATCTATGTGGGGAGTGGTGGCGCAGTTATTACACTGTGTAACAAAAAACATTTTTGTTCCTGGGTAGCGGTATTTCCTAATTGCCTATGCCTCAAAAGTACAGAAAATGCTATTCCCCACAAACTTTGCTTTTTTGACCAGGACAGTGATATTTTGAAATTTACCTATTTTCAATTATAAAACGGGCGAATTTGTGTATTTTCATTCACATAAAGTCCTGGTCACAAAAGCAAAGTTTGTTGGGAATAATAGCGATTTTCTATACTTTTTAGGCATAAGCAATAAAAAAATAACACTTTGTACCCAGGAACTAAAATTGTGTTACATAGTATTATCACTGTATTATAAACTCAATAATTATAGTTTGATTATATCCGACAACAAACGTGATTGATAAGTGAAAACTTAACTTCTTGTGGGGAAGCATGAATACTGAGCATATGAAGGTGGCCAGGCATGGTTCTGGACACACCACCTTTTTACCATGCCAGTGTGTGTGACAGTGTCAAGTTTGTATTTGCAGTAAAGTATATTAACTCTTTTGAACATGGAGGTTAAATCAAAACAATAGTTTATTTTTGTTTTCCTCTGGAACTTTTTATAGGAATGGAAACAGGAAATAACACAGCACATATGCAGCTGAAGTTAGATCTGTTCATCCCAGCATTCAAGGAAATCTGAGCCTGGCTTCATGCCTCTAAGTTGCGATTGAACATTAATTTCTGCATTTCTGCATAATACAAACAGTATTAGTTTCAACACCCTTAGCTTTGTTAGCTGAATTTAGCTTTCATAAATATTCATTTTCTAGCCAGACAACCGAAATTGTGTGCTTGTAGTTTTGGGTTAACATTCATTTTGAAGGTACTTGGGCTTCCAAGCATATTTATGACCATTAGCACTCTTAATTGTATGTCATAACAGCCTGTGTGATGGATTGGGGAATCTTTTTCACTATGTCCAGATTATATGAATTAGTTTAGACGTGTAAGTCATGTGTTACTGTGTATATATGCATTCCTCTGTACCTCGATACTGACGTAGATGGTGTGGATATTATTTTTTTCTGTCTGCAGCTGACACACCCTCTGCAGAATTGGTCTGATGGAGCAAAGGCACTCGGCGCGGCTTGGTTCAAAAAGGCAACAATATGACCAGTGTGCATACAGCACGGATCAAACTGGACATTTGACACAGCACAAGAGAACTCACACAGGAGAGAAACCCTTCAAGTGCACTGTGTGTGACAAGGCATTTGCACGGTCATCAGTTCTTCAGAGGCACCAGAGAACACACACGGGAGAGAAACCCTTCACGTGCACTCTGTGTGGGAAGGCGTTTGCACAGTCATCTGGTCTTGTATTACACCAGAGAACACACACGGGAGAGAAACCCTTCAGGTGCACTCTGTGTGGGAAGGCGTTTGCACAGTCACCACATCTTAAAATACACAAAAGAACACACACAGGAGAGAAACCCTTCAGGTGCAGTTTGTGCGGGAAGGCGTTTTCACAGTCATCTGCTCTTGTATTACACCAGAGAACACACACAGGAGAGAAACCCTTCAGGTGCACTCTGTGCGGGAAGGAGTTTGCAGTGTCATCACATCTTAAACAACACCAAAGAACACACACAAAAGAGAAACCTTTCAAGTGCACTGTCTGTGAGAAGGCATTTGCATGGCCAGCAGTTCTTCAGAACCACCAGAGAACACACACGGGAGAGAAACCCTTCAGGTGCACTCTGTGTGGGAAGGCGTTTTCACAGTCATCTGGTCTTGTATTACACCAGAGAACACACACGGGAGAGAAACCCTTCAGGTGCACTCTGTGCGGGAAGGCGTTTGCAGGTTTATCAAATCTTAAAACACACCAGAGGGCACACAATCATCAGAAGATCCCCAAGGAGTGGAGTTTGAAATCGGCATGTGAAAGTCAAAGTGCTGCATGAGCCCATCCCTCATGAAACCAGAACCAGAAGTAAATCCCAGCTTGGACACTTTAAAGGTATTAAGGTGAAATGTGAAGAGGCGAAGGTGAAATGTGAAGAAGTGATGGTGAAGAGCGAAAAAGTTACGGTAAACTTTGAAGATGAAGATTCAACTCCAAAATGGGACCTTCACATCCATGGAGGCAACGTGAAGCAGGAGATTTCTGACTGTGAGGCAGAGCGAGGCAACTCCCAGCAGTTTGTGGAAGTGGAGGTGTGGGTGGACTTCTTAGACAATACAAAGTCAAATGGAGACCCGGTAGATGTTTAAGCTTGAGACAATTTAGCGCCAATAGATTCACCTTTGTCACAGGCCTTTAATGAAAAGAACGTGCAGTTTAACACTCAATTCCTGGGTTCAACCTGCAGAGTAAGACGTGACCAGTATTTTGTGGACCTGTGGGTTGGCTAGAGAATAACCAGGAGCAAGAGCCAATACCTCCCAAGGATTCCCACTATTATATTCATATGTGCCCTTGATATGGTGCTTGGTTAAGTGCCTCACCAACTCACTTTTGTTTCATATCATCACAAACCACTCGAAGAGCACCCCCAAGTGGCAGCTTGCCTCTGTGGTCATAAGGTGACCCTGCCTCAAGCCTGCATGTTGGTCATGAGTCTGTCAGTAGGGGGTGATGATTGATGGTAATCTCCATATTGTAATTTTGGATAATGTTTGGAATTGCCCAAATGTTGACCATGACACCCAACATGCAATGACCTATGCGTTTTTTGAATGACAGTGTTTTACATCTGTTAGAGCAGTAAATAATGATGTTACGTCACGCTCACCCTCCGGTGCAGGGACGTCAAAGAGTGACGTCATGCACGGCGGGCGGGATGGTGACGTCACGTCCCCCTGGGATATTTAGGTTTGGGACCTGTGACTGTGTTCGAGGTCGTCGCGAGGAGCTGGGAAGGTGTGAGGCTGGGAGTTGGGACCCATGGTAGGGCGGAAATTAGCGCCAGGCTAGAGTAGCCTGTGTGAGTGCCTAGTAATCTCCAGTACCATTCCCCAGGGGGAGTGAAGTGTAAGGATGGGAACGAGTGCCTGCAGTGGGAACAGCACAGCCGCCGCTGAAGGAAGGCTAGAGGGTAGAGCCTCACCTCGTCGCCAGGCGTGATGGGCGAGCCCCACGCCCAGGGCAGACGAGGGGAGCCGTACCGGGGCGTAGAGTTACGGGAGGCAGTTCCACGTGCAGGCCTGAGTTCTTGACGCGCACCAATATGCGTGTAGGCATGTGTGTAGAGTGTGCAGTACACACAGTCGTGCGTGAAGAATAGTGTTTAATAAACGACTGGCGGTCTACAAGTCTCCAGTGGTGTCGAGATTAACCACACAACACATCCACTGTAAGCGGACGGTTCATATTTTGTTTAATGTACTGGAGTAGCCATGCGTGCCTGTCGGATTTTGACCCTTTTGGACCTCTGCAATAAATAGAGAATGTGCGACCACCTTGGCTTCCCTCAATCTGAGTGTAGGCATGACAGCCTGTTTCTAACTAGCGCAGATGTTCCATTTAGAGGGTGTTCCCACGTTTCAGATGCCTACAGAAGGGAATGCATTACTGTGGCCGAGAAGAGCCGAAGCTTCATGTGGAGCGACAGACCAGGTAGCTTCCACACAGCATAGCACAGCTGATGAAATAATGCTGCCCGACTCATTCGGACCACCCACACACTGTGTGCACACACTGTACACACACAATGTTCACAGTGTACACACACAGTGTGCACACAATAATGTTCACGTTGTTGAGTTCAAGAGAGGGAGCCATAGAAATGGAATCTAAATAAACTTGAACTCTGACCCTGATCTCGCTCTCTGACGTCACCAATTGTAAACTCGGCGTGAGACGCGAGGGGGAGTTGTCCCCCAACTAGTGACGTCATGCCACGAAGGTATTCACACCCAATCCCCCTCCACCGCGCTTTTGAGCATGACGTCACGTCTGGTTGGTCACTGCAGATTTCCGTTCCAGTAAAAATCCTTATTTGGGCGAAGCTACGCCCATTCCCTGGTGGCTCATTAACATAATTTATCGTTTTATATTTTTATTATTTGATTGTTTCCCTTCTACGTGACTTTACCGAAAGAACCAAGAATATGACTACATGCAGTCACGAAAGCTTTCAATCAAAATATAATCTATTCAGTTACACCAAGGCTCCTTGGGGGAGGTGATTGTGTGTTGAACCCCGTAATTAACGTCACCGCCTGCTGCCGCATGACGTCACGAGATACCAGAAAGCTGCTGCTCCGCGCACGAAGCTCAGATCCAAGGTGAGAAGTTTACATCGCAATCTTTAGGTCTTTCGGTAAAGTCACGTAGAACAAAAACACAAAAAACGACGTTTCGATCGCAACGCAAGCAATCAGGAGAAAAAAGTGGGGGAAAGCTGCTGAGGCAGGCTGTTTTAAAGGTTTGAAATGGGTGTAGCCCAGGGGTCATAAACGAAGTAGGCGGGGCTAGTGATGTTAAAGTGAGAAATTTGCATGTAAATGTAAGATTGGAGAGCTACCTCCATGACGAGGGCGTGGAAAGTGAGAAATTGTATTGTGAGAGATTCGCTAATTATCTCACAATACAATTTCTCACTTGGTGTTGATGAGAACAAAGCCCATCAAGAAAACCGCGGCGTCTTGGAGCGTGTTCGCGTACCCGGGCCATCCGCCAGAGGCGGAACCAACGCAGGAACATCCCCAGGTGGAAACAGCGGTCCAGTAGGGGGTGACACAGCTGGATCCAAAGCAGTTGGGCATGACAGGATATGGGCGTCCGCCGGTCCCGCCGTCTCACTCAAAGGCGCTGTGGGTGGTAAAGAAACAAACTTCGGAGGATCACCTTGCACAGGGGCGGCAGGCCGGTTGGACACGTCAGGCACCGGGAACCCGGAATCTGGAGATGACGATGACCCAACAGGAGCAAAAAACGGCTTCAATCGTGACGGGTGACCGAACCAACGCCGGTGGGCCGTGACGAATGCGAACACACTGCGGATGCAAAACCTCAACAATTGTCCCCGGGCCCTGCCATGGTTTGTGGAGCTTTGGAGAGGTGCCAACGGGCACCTGCGGGCAATGAAGCCATGCCTCGTCCCCAACAGACCATGGCATGTCCCTTTTGGACCTCCGAGCATAACGTTCATTCCGTGCCTGTGTCCTGGAGGTATTCAATCTGACAGCCTCCCACGCCTCAGAAACCCGTCTAAGGGACTCTTGAACATGGTTGGGAAGAGTCGTCTTAGGAGGCGTAACCAGGGAGCCCAATTGAACATCAACGGGTGGCACATTCTCCCTCCCGTACATGAGGAAGAAGGGAGAGTACCCCGTAGAAGCGTGTAGCGCCATCCGGTAAGCAGAGAGGACACTGGGTATCTGCAAATCCATGTCAAGCTGCCTCTCATTGACAGTTTGGCATAACATGGCAAAGTACGATTCAACCGCTCAACCATACCATCCATCTGGGGATGGTAGGGAGACGTACTAATCTTCCTGGTCCCCAAGGCACTGCAAACGTCACGCAACAACTTGGAAGAAAAGTTCCTACCCTTATCGGTGAGCAGTTTTTCCGGCGCCCCTTTATCCATCACATAGCCATTCACAAAAGCGTCAACGATGGATAAAGTTGATTGATCTTGCAGGGCCCAAGCCACAGGCCAACGAGAAAAACATTCTACGCCGACGAGAATAAATTTATTCCCATGAGGTGTAACAGGGAACGGACCTAACACATCCGAGGCAACCAATTCATTAATGCGCGTGACCGAAATGGATTGCAAGGGCGGAATATAACGCTGCCGGGGCGATTTCCTCCGGGCACACTCGGTGCATGATCGAAGTGCACTAGTGACGTCTGACGTCATTCCAGGCCAATAATCCCTCTGCAGAGTGAGCAGCGTTTTCTGACCGCCAAGATGGAAAAGGTGCTCACTATGCAATGAGCGGATCAAACCCGCAAAGAGAAAATCCAGCACAACCAATCGAAGCCGGCGCGACGTGTCATCCTGCCACATCAACAAGCCCTCGTGAACCAAAATTCGACCCGACTTAATAGAATCAGAATCACCTGCGGCCGGTATGGGCAATTGCCGCAAGGAGGTCAAAGAGTCATCTGAAAATTGTTCGCGCAACCACACCGAACGTGTGGCGCAACACACAATTGGCAGGGGGAAACCCCCGTTTCGTCCGGAAGCGTCTCAACTGCGGACATGACCAAGGGGCGAGACTTATCATGGGGAGTACAGCGGTTCGTACAGGAGCAGCAAGCACAGCAGGACGTGTGTGACAGCCGCGACAACGCGTCAGCCTTAGCGTGGCGAACCCCCTTCCAGTAGGTGACATCGAACGTAAGTTCCTGCAAGCACTCCAACCAGCGTGCCAACTGACCGCCCGGCTGCTCGATTTTCAATTAATATTGGAGAGCCACATGATCAGTGCGGATAACAAACCTCCTGTCATATCAATAGGGTCGAAAAAGTCGCACAAAATGAACGATCGCCAGCAACTCCTGACGTGTGACGCAATAGCGGGTTTCCGCCGGTGAGAGCACCCGACTACCATACGCGACGAGACGATCGACTCCACTCCTTGGGGATCTTCTGATGATTGTGTGTCCTCTGGTGTGATTCTTAGCCGTGAGCGCATGCAACGGTTTCGCAATGGAAGCAAACCGAGGGATGAACCGGCGGTAATAGGAGGCGACGCCAACAAAGCTCTGTACATCTCCCACACTCGTGGCAACCGGCCAGTCACGAACGCACGCCATTTTGGCAGGATCGGTAGAAATGCCATCCGCACTCACAAATGTGGCCCAAATATCGAACGGAAGTCTGCAAGAGGTGACACTTTTTAGGCTTGAATTTGAGATTCGCAGAGTGCATCCCCTCAAAAACAGTGTGCAGCTGGAGAAGGAAGTCATCAAACGACCGGCTGAACACAATAACATCGTCCAGATTAAATCAAGCACGTGTCCCACTGGAGACCAGCCAGGATGAGCTCCATGAGTCGTTGGAACGTAGCAGGAGCAGCTTTCAATCCCATCGGTAAACAATAAA